TTTGACTGTTTCATGTATCCAACTTTCTCTATAATACCATTAGCAATAAGCAACCGCATGCAGTGCGTGTTGGTTTGGTATTTTTTAAGCGTCTGAAATACACCGAGCAGGTATAATGATGATGCTGTTTCGCCAACAATTCTGTAAGGTCTGACGGGGGTATTTGGGCACCAAGGTCATCAAAATCAATGTCAGTGCGACAGTTTGGCATAGCAGCTCAGACCAAGCTGGGTTGGGTTGAATACTTCGTCATTGGTACTTTGTTTAATGATCGCAACGTCATCGATTTTCAGTCTCATAACGCGGTAGAGAAGTAGTCGGAAACATTCATGGTTTGAAGACGTCTTTCCTTCAACAAATTTTGGTTTGAAAAGACGAGGAATTATTATGCTATTAAAGCCTGCTGAATTCAATATTAATAAGCTGGCTTTTTACAGACAAAAGTCTCCTGGTTCCAGCAGTGGATGTCAATCATGGATCCGTCTTCTGACCACATTTGGACGCAGTGCTCGTTTGCTCGATTTGGTTCACCCGGACTCCAGTTAACGAAACCCGAGGGACTCCCATCGGTCCAGGCGGTAGCGAAGGAATTGTTCATGGTCAATCCAATCCAGAATAGAGAGCCTATCCCAGCCGATTTGGCATAGCGAGCAAGGAAGAGGCTTTCCTTGGCATTGGCCACTGATGCTAAATGAGCAGATCTTCCTGGCTTTGAAAAAGCCCGGCAAAACTTCTCGGCATAAGCGAATGTTTTTCGCTCGTTGACGCTTAGGTAGCAGAAGTTGTTATAGGCTAGCCAGGGCGGTTGGCACGTGACATTCTTCCAGTTCAAATTACACCTGCACTCTACGAATGGTATTCCTATCTGCAAGAACATGTAAAAAGAGAACACACAAAGTTTGATTTTGGCCATGTCGTCTCAAAATGTGCAACTCTGTTTTTCCTTTTGTTTACTTCCTTTTGGTAACATCTGCAATTCTTGAGCAATACTCTCAGAATGCCATTAGCCAATCGTGAAGAGTTGCTTTTTGTACATCCAATTAAAGTACCCGGTAACTGCTTTTCCAACCGCACAGAACTGGGGATCTCTGAACTGTTGTAATGTATGACCGTTGCGCATTATTTTCATCCGAGCGCTGTGTTCAAAATCACTGATCTGCCCGCCTATGTGGGTCAAAGCCGGAATAAGTTACCGAATAAATTATGGGCCTTTTCTCTCAGCACTCTGCGCTTTTTATGTCGTACGTTTTGCCGTCGTAGCTAGGCAATTAAGGCCGTGTGCAAATTACGTACCTGCTGCATACAAGTTCATGGATAGTGATTATAGGTCCATAGAATCGTGTGTAATATTAAGCTTTTGTCAGGTAATTAGAACACGCCCCAATTACTGCAGTATGAATTTCAATAATGCTGTTTCCGAAACTGCGCGGTACTGTGGGTCAGAGCCGGTGAGATAAATGACCACTGTATGCGCATTTTCCTGTGTCGTGCATGCGCTTTAACCCATAATCCGCGCTTTTCCGCCTTTCAGTCAACTACTTGTATAATGACAAGGAATCCCAGCGCAGTGATGTCGGATATTGATCGTCATAAAAAAAGGTCAACCGTGATCGGCTCAATGGGTTTTTTTTTTTTGGTTTTTTGTTGGGTTTTTTTTTTTGGTTTTTTTTTTCGTAAAACTGGCATCTGCATTACACGTTTTGTTATCTTTGGAAAGAGCTCTGGCGTATGGTAATCAATTATACCAACAACTTCTTTCATGCTACTCCGCTTCGCTCATACGCATAAGAAACAGTTTTAGTTTTACATAACGTCAGAATGAAGGAACAGACTCAAGGAAATTGCATTTCCAGAGTTTATTATACACGATGGGGAGTGGTCTTGCACTTGCATGCAAATAATGTCCATTTCTTTTCTCCCCCTTTCTCTCTTTAAAGGAACCATAAAATAGAAATACCTTTATAAATTTTACAAAAAACCTTGAAATTGCATCTCTGGGTTTCAATTAACCTTATTTCAATTTTTTGTTATGCAATTTTAACCCATATTTGATGCTTTATTAGTTTTTACGCTGATGTATATTTGCATATTGATGAGCAGAACTATGACGTCCTCCAAGGCACTGAATCTCAATGTTGCGCTGATTTGTGCGCGGAAAATTTCTTGATTTTTTAAGCACTGCTACGGCTGATTTTATTTTCTTAAGCAATTTATTGCTATGGAAGTGTTTGGCAATAATCCAGCAAAAATCCTTTTCCCAGAAATTTTCCCAGATTGCAGATTTGGAGTTCATAATTTCAACATAAAAACATGCAACCTGATGAACCATGTCTTCCTGGATTTACATCAAAGCAAAAGCGTGCTCACTTGGCCAGAAATGCTCGGTCAATGTTTAATATTTGGAAAAGTGCACCGTTCAGTTCACGCAAAAAGATGTCAAACAGTCTTCATACATGGAGAGTACATAGATGCACAAAAGGTGATTATATAAAGAAAAATTCATTTCCTGGACCCTTTAACAATTACACCGGTACCGCAAAATAAAAGGAATTCAAATCTCTTGCCACCTAGGCCACAAACCTATCTAACATGGGCAGGGTCAACACTGGGACATCTGCCCTCACCATAGGAGGTACATCGAAAACGGAATATCAAATTTCTGTTTAAGACAACTTGAAGTCAGGAGCACTGATTGTTATACGATAGTACAAAGAAAAAACATAACATTTACTCAAAATCCAACACAGCAAGAAAGAATTACAAACTATACGATTATTACATCATAATGGTCTTTGCAACGAACATCTTCTACATCTCTTTTTACATATTGGGTTTTTGCTGCTGTCGCTTTCCAACGACCATGTTGAAGTATTAAGTCTTCAGAAACCCCTTTATTGGCCAGATGAGAGGCTCCCCCGATCGGAGACTATGCAGCCCGTGGTTATTCACAAATGAAAAGGGACAGAAGTCTTACGATTCAAAAAAAGTAAATTATTCATTAAAAAAACAGGATTGTTCGTCTCTTAAATCTTACTAAATCGTGGCTGGAGATGCTCCTTGACGTGGAAGCTATTGTAGCGGTAATAACGTATTATTGTGTGCGTTTTTGCAACTGGTTTGTTCATCAACAATCTGCCGGTGCGCAGTCCTTACGACCGAATATTCGATCGAATTGAAAGTTGAATATTCGAATAGCGAATTTATATTCGAATTGACTCAGCCCTTGAAAATATCTGAGCATTTAATTTGAAAATATTTCAAAATGTTCAGACTAGTCTCACAGGGTTTGCCCACAGGGTGTCAAATTCAAGTGACGTCCGTGTATGGAACTCTTTTCCTTCCTTTGAAATAGCCTGAGGCTGAAGATACAACCGACTGCGTGTCGTGAATAAAGCCTATTTTTTCATCACTTGAATTTCGGATCATCTGTCACCATCAATGCGAGACCCAATCTTTCTGATATTAATCAAAGAGGGCTTGCAACCAAAGACCAATGATTTGGAAAATGTTGTTCAATTTACCTTAAAATCCCGGTTTCCTATTTTCCCCAGGGCACCCTATTAATTTGATTGAAAAAGTAGAATTCTTGAGTGAAGTTATTTATGGGTCTAGACTGGATTCAAAACCTATAGCCTTACGCATAACAAATTCCTTTTTAATAACTCCGTGCTGAACTGAAGGGTTGCGTTTTGGCAGTCAAAACCAAGAATACGGGCGATTCACAATAGTGCGCCTACAAGAGTGCAACGCGCTAGCCAATCATAATGCTCGAAATCTGTCGATCCGCGTTTGGGGAGGGTCGACAGGTTTCGCCCATTGTGATTGGCCAACGCGTTGCAAACTTTTGGAGGCGCATCGCTCGTATTGGTCCAGTTCGACTTAATTTGGAACCCTATCTAGTATGCGTACTCAAGCAATGACCTAGCCTTTGATCAAGGCGCCTGCGGCGAAATGGATAGTCAATACCACATAACGAACCGCAAGCCCGAAATTAACCATGCATGCGCATGCAGTAGCCGAGCTGTGTATGTCGTGGACAGTGCGTGCGGTCGTCGTGTAGTCTTTTTTCGTGCGTTGGTTTGGTGCTTAAACTAGTCTCCTCCAGCTCCTCGCTCTTGAGCGACTATCCATTTCGCCGCGGGCGCCTTGATGAAAGGCTAGCAATGACCAAGAGAAACAACGGGCCTCAACTTAAGGGTGCACTGAACCAATTCAAGCTCCATTGAAAACAGTGTAAAATCAACCAAGTTTGAAGCCCCATGGCAGGCAACTGAAGTCCCTGAGGCCTCTCAAACAAAAAACAATGTGTTGTTCGGTCCTTTAGGTTTCATTCGATTTTCAATTTTTAGTAGGTTAACCAATGAATTTTTTAATTATCCGCCCAAAACAAACTCACCCCCAAAAAAGTCAATGTTTCCAAGTCTTC